TTCTTCTGTGGGGTTCTTCTGTGGGGTTCTTCTGTGGGGTTCTTCTGTGGGGTTCTTCTGTGGGGTTCTTCTGTGGGGTTCTTCTGTGGGGTTCTTCTGTGGGTTTTCCGTGGGTTTTTCCGCTCCCCAGAGCTCAGGGAATGTCCCCTCGGGCAGCTCCTGCCACCCCTGCCGGGTTCTCATCCTGGGGTGACCATGGCACGCGCCCCTGTCCCTGAGCGTCCCCCTTATTCCTGTGTTCTCCTTCCAGGGCACGATTAAAAGGAATTTATCCAGTAAGTATCTCCTGGAGTCTGCAAACAGCAGCCTTGCACCTTGGAGGGGTTTGTGAGTGAGTTCAATTTGGGTTCAAGTGCTCCTGGCAGAGCTGGTGGCTCCCAAATTTTTCCCTGGAGAAGGTGTGGGGGACATCCTTGGGACATCATAAAAAAAATCATTAAAAACCTAAAAAAATTAAAAAAAACCTTCTTCAAATCTCAACAATACAAATCAAAAATTCTAATATCTGACATAAACATTCCTCAAATAATAAAAAATAAATACACCCCACAAACGAAACTATAATTCTTCCTACACAATTACAAAAAAACATTAAAAAAATGAAATAAAAAATCTACTACTACTCTAACACAGCAAATACATAAATTAAAAAAAAAACTAAAAAAAAAGTACCACCAAAGATAAACCAACTCCAATTACCCATAATCAAACTACCAAACATAATAATAATAATAACATATCCAATCCTCTTAAAAAAACCTCTAAAACATACACCCAAAGCAAAAAAAAATATAACCAAACTTAAAAAAACCCTACCTCTAACCAAATAAAAACTAAAAAAACCCATATTTACTAAACTTTATAAATTCACTAAGCTAACGCATCAAAACCACAAAAATATAAAACTTTAATCAATACTAATACACAATACACATTAATTCCATCAAAACACATAAAAACCAAAAAAACCTGCATCCTGTAGCAGTGCAGCTCCCTACCTGAGGGAGGAAATAAATGGGAATTAAAAGCAGAATAAATGGGAATTAAAAGCAGAATAAAATCGGAGTTCAAAGCAGAATAAAATCAGAATTAAAAGCAGAATAAAATGGGAGTTAAAAGCAGAATAAAATGGGA